AACAAAGAGGCCATTGTCGCTTTTCTTATAAAGCTGGAAGTGTATTCTCAAAACGTCGGAGGTCGGGAGTTGTCACAGCTCCCAATTCTCGCTGCACTCACTGGGATCTGAAGGATAAAGATTTGGTTGTTTATGCCATCCATTTGTAACAGCTCCGAAAAGTAATGAAAGACAGGTTTTATGACCTGTTTCATGACCCGAATTGGATTTTAGATCTATTTGTTGTACAGCCATGCAATGTTGGAGTTAAAATCCTAGAAAGTCTCATGGAGCTTCAAAGTGGCACACTAACAAGATCCAACTTCACGCAATATAAAAGAAATTTTTGGATAACGACTGATGCCCCTAACAGATACCGCATACTGTTGGAACTATCTGAAATCTGTTTCATTGCTTTTCCATTTACCTACTTGATTGTATGTGGATTCAGCAGAATGGTTTCTCTAACCAAAAGTAGAAACAGGTTGGACATCACGCTGTCAAATCTGAAGACGGACTTAATCAAGCTTGCTCAAGGACATTAGGCTCAAGGCTCGCATTAATATGTGGGTATTGCACTACTCTCCGAGCTGAACGATTATTTTACAGACGTTTTCCTACCAGACTAGGCAACGTCGTCAGTGCGGCTTTAAAGTCCTGTTTCGCAGAGCCTCGTAAGCGACTTCGAGATCTATGTGCTTATTGATCGAGTTCTGCTTTGAATACCAGGCCTCAATAAACTCACGTGCTGGCCGGCTTGTGGCTCTTTCGAGTAGTTTGGCGTGCTCTAAGTCGAACTGGTGGCCTTCAGCATCCATATACACGGACATCAAAGACTTCTGATCATGGCGGCGGATTGCCAGGCTATGTTCACGTAACCGTGTGCCAAACTTCCTTCCCCTTTTGTCCTATGTAGTATTTATCACAGTCTCGGTAGCAGATCTTGTAGATTACATCAGATGTCTCCCACTGGCTAAGTTTATCCTTCACTTTGGGAAGTTTACTTCTAATTGTTTCTGTTGATTGGTGAGCAATTTGGACTGCCAAGGGCAACAGAAGTCTCGTTGTTATTTCAGAGATTCCGCTGACGTGAGGCAATACGGCTCGTTTTTCAGCCGTTCCACACTTGTCGAGGTGTGTTGTGTTGCCTTATTTGGGGTCAAGCAGCGCAGAATGAAGCCTTTTGGGTACGAATTCCGTTTGAACAGGCTGAAGAGATGGTCTTCCTCCGCCTGCCCCAGCTGCTGCGTGTTACAATGCGTCCGTGCCCGTTTGAAACGTGTTAGCACGCAGCTGCGTTTGTGGACTGCCGGATGATTGCTGTTGTAATTGAGGATCTGGTCCGTATGTGTTGATTTTCGATAGATCATCGTTTCCAGTGGTCCCGAACCAGTCCTACGTATGAGAAGGTCTAAAAATGGCAGCTGCCCATTGTTTTCCTCTTCCCTCGTGAATTGGATGCCGTCGAACACACTGTTGATTAGCCCATGTCTCCTCTAATTTGGAGCGTTTGAGGATGACGAAGGTGTCGTCTACGTAGCGCACCCAAAGTTTCGGTCTCACAATTGGGAGTGCTATCCGTTCTAGCGGCTGCATTACTGCTTTGGTTACCAGTCCAGAGATCGGCGATTGCCTCTGAGGTGCTGATAGATTTGGACGTTAAATGTGAAATGTGTTGTTAGACAGAATCCCAGCAACTCCATCATTTGTCCGGCGTCGATTTTACTACTTGTATCGGAAGCTGTATGTTCCTTTAGCAGAGCAGCCATTGTTTGTTTCACCAAGTTGATGTCGATCGATGTGAACAGCGCCGTCACATCAAAAGAGACCATTATTTCGTCTTGTTCTATGTTTGTGCTTTTGAGTTTTGCTAGGAACTGTTCTGCCGAGTTGATCGAGTGTTCTGATCCCGCAATCAGATGTTTTAGCCGTCTCCAGAGCTGTTTTGCAAGTCTGTAGTTTTGATGCTCCAGGTAGCGACACAATGGGAAGGAGAGGCACTCCGCTTTTACGTACTTTTGGTAGACCGTAGAATCGCGGTAGTATCGAATCTTGTGGTTTCATCAATTTATGTTCCAATTTTGTGATTCGTCTCATTTGTTCTAGTTTTAGCAGAGTGCGCATTCTAAATGTTTTGTCGGATCTTCGTTTATCGGTTGGTATGTGTTGGGATCGCTGAGCAGATGTTGTGCCTTCATCATGTAATCGGTTTTGTCCATTAGGACCGTTAGGCGTCCTTTGTCGGCTGGCAGTATAACTATGCTCTTGTCTTTTTTGAGATTCATCAGAGCCTTTTGTTCCGTGGTGCTGAATATGTTGGTTTCAACTTTATGACTAAGAGCCGGAATGATCCTGTGTCTGATCTCTTGTTGTGCCTCAGGTGCGATGTTGTATGACTTGAGCGTTGATTCCAATGCAGCGACGAAATCAATGAGATTGAAGTCCTTGACGTGAGCTGCATACCTTGGACAATGACTGCTTTTTCAGCGTTCGATAAACTTATCTTGGATAGGTTCGTAATCCACTCATCTGCTTCTCTAGTTGGCTTCTGTTACAAAATTAAATTCAGATTCTCTTCAAGTTGCCGTTTGGTGTTGCATTTCGTTTTGTGTTTTTACGGCTATCGCTTTCTCCAATTCTTCAGTCAACTGTGATCCTAGCTTGGCTAAGCGTATTGCTCTTTGTTGGTCAATCACTATCTGATATTTATGCTTCCGATTTTGTGCATCTGTGATCAGCAGGCGCATCATTCGTCATCCATGTTGTTCTGTCATCTTCCAAATCAAATGATGGTTAATCGGGGGATGCTAGTGCAGACTCGGTGGCAAAACCTGCCTTCACAAGCATTCTTGAAGGAAGAACAGCTGTTCGTTAGTGTAGGATTGCCGGCTGGCTCTGCAAAACAGGACCTTAAAGCCGCACTGACGATGTTGCCTAGTCTGGCAGCGAAACGTTTGCAAAATTTTCGTTCAGCTCAGAAAGTAATGCAGTACCCACATCCACATCCTGCGGATATTCTCAACCATTTCAAATCGCATTAATATCTCGACAAATGTGACATGCATTACAGTACAAAGCAAACAATAATTAAATACAATATGAAATATTAATGCCTTTTGTGCAATTACAGACAAGTGGCTTGATGTTGTCGCATAATGAATGATATCTTGACGCTGTGCAAGCTAAAAATTGAGCTTTCTAGTGAAATCAGAAGTGAAACCAACCTTTAAAATTCAGCCATCATAAAAAGATACCAATATATTAGAAATCACAGATTTAGTGTGTTACGCGTTGCGGATTGCTGAACTTGTGGTGCCCAAGGGTTGGGGCCAGGAGAAATGAAAAGGTTCAAAAGGGGGCTACGGCTGGATAAAGGTTGAGAATGCGTGCCCTAAATAACGCCAGTCTTTAGTTGCTCTATGTTGACGGTAACGCTACTAATCACCGTCTTCTCTGCTCGATTGCTGTTTGGATAAACGATAAGTGGTACATACAAGCGTTTTGTAGCAAGGTAAATTGTGCAGTCATGAAGGAGTACAGATTGAAATATCAGTAATCTAGGTGTGTTTCCGGGATCCCTGTCCAAATCAGTCTTCTAAGATGACAATATTAAACGTTCAGTGTGGGCAACGGTATACTTGCAGGGTCCTATCTGCATCGCTAATGCCTCTCAGGGAGAGAACAGAGCAACGCAACTGCAGCGGAGTAAACTAATTAGTTAAGGGAGAAACAAGACATACCGATGAGAGTTAGTCCATCGTAAAGTATGTAGATTGATAGTATACGATGAGGAAAGTAGAAACCGCGCAGTTTACGATGTCGAGCCTACTATTGAAGAGTACGGCTACAATAGGCCGAACACAATATGAGATCCCATCTAAGTCATCATTTAAACAAGAGAATAAATTTGTTAAACGTAGACAAATTTAGGAATATTTTATTATGAATACGACATGGTTTCATTGGTTTCATCAAGACGCTCTGGTTGACACACTGTAAAGTGAAAACGATCGTATCTTCAACGTCTCAATAGGACGCGTTAGCTCTATCACTGCCTCAGAATGATTATGAGGCTAACGTGCAAATACACAAGAAATGTCCTACTAAGCTATATCCTAGCAAAAATGGGCGTCTTGCTTCTTTTCTATATTTTGCACGAATCAGGTACGATCTTGCTACTAGGGTATGACATCACGTTTTGCGCGGAACAATAGAATCGGAGACACTCGTTTCCACTAGCTTGAAAGACCGTTTTTTTAGGTTTGATTGGTTTTATATATTTCTGGCTCAGCATTATAACCTTACTCTTCTATATCTGCTCTCCTTTTGCCGTCAGTGTTGCCATCGCGGTTAACACATTGATATCGCAGGCTTGGAGACCCTTGGATATAACATCCTAATTGATGAGGCCTTCGTTTTTTGTTACCTTTTTGTTTCCCTCTGTCTGTTATCAGTTTACTAGCGACTTGCAAGTTAATTGCACGGTAGGATCTACTGGGAGGTGTAGTGTTACAATAGTCGGCATCATTCTTGGATTTCATTCTCTTGTTCTCATCGTTCATCGCACCAGAGGCTCCCTGAGCGCCGCGAAAATTAATTATTCGGCTTCGTACACAACCACAGTACTTATTTGTTCCGGCTACTGCTTTTACCCTTTTTTGGTGTCTGTACAGCAGTTCTTATGCGTTCCATACTTGACTCGTAGGTCTTTTTCTCATTTAGTCCACCGATCCAATCCTCTTCATTTTAAATTCCTGACTTAAGCAATGTTTGTCATCCCCTTTGCTTGCTGTACACCCTTCGGCTGCTCTTGCTTTACGGTTACTGCCTTTTCTGATTCTTTGGGCGTCGTTCCCTCCCCCAGATACTTCGGACTTACCTTTTGACTATTGGCACCCGGGCCGAAAAACGCGGAATACTTTCCCGATCTCATCGCCGCGACTCACCTCGCATTGTTGTATTTATATTGTACTCTTAAACTCAGTCCATCATCCTTCTGCTTCCTTTCGCTTTCTCTCCAGGTCTTGCGTTAATCAAAACGTGGCTGATGGCCGCGAAGCATTTGTCTGGTAAGCTGGCGAGTTCTTTCATCGCCTTCGCGCTAACTCACCTGCCCCGCATTGAGATGTTGGTGCTTTGGTGACTATAAGCATTGCCTGTCATTGAGGATGGTTGCTAACAATGTAACTGCAGTTCTCTTCACTACTTGTCTCGTTCTGGACCTTTCCTTTGCTTACGCATAGCACTCCTTCGATCGCTTTCGTTTATGGTTACCTTACCTTTACATCGGTTGTTGCTTTGACTCTTATAGTACGTCACATAGCTCAATTCTCATCATCAGTTCGTGTTACCCGCCAGCTCTGACAAGACCACCAACTACTGGGTCTTTCAGATATTCTTTCCGATTAGGCTTGCTTAAGTCCTTCGATTACATACATACTGACAGCTTGTTCGAGTTTAGATCGATGTTTGTGACCACCCGATAAACATTTATCCAGTTCGTTCACATCTAGCACCTGTGTCACTCACCTGGATAGAGGACTACAGGTCTTCGGTCTTATCAGCTTTTCTAGCGGCCTTATTTGCGTTGGAAGTAATGTTTACATGAAATCAGCTTGTGCTGTTCCTACTTCTTGCCACTTTCTCACACATGAGACATTGACATACTGTAGAATATCTGCCCAGTAAATATCTAAATGTGCTTTAATGTCCCCTTTTCTCATTATTTTCGGAACGACGTTCTTTGAGGTCTACATACAGTATCGGTTATTTCTTCGTAGCATGACCCCGATTTGAGCGAATAGGGATAGTCAATGTAGGTAACTGCCGAAATGTTTAAACCCCTATCTGACTCTGGGATGAATTTTCAATTGGATCTTGTGATTCCTCGTTCTCTTTTCTCTAATTTACTTTTTGCTTGTGATCCTAGTCTAGTCACGCAAGCTATTCGCCTCCAGCACCCAACAGTTTCACACCTATTGGTGACCATTGGAGGGTCATTTTGAGGTACATGTTGTGTGATTAGATTGCGACGCGCAATTCCAAAGTAGACTGTGATTCCCATTGAAGCGAGCCTGGGTCAATTCGATCGCTATGACCGTAGCAGAAATGTATGGAAATTGGGTGTTGCTCACCCGAAGACACTCCACTCCACTATGCGTTTCGACCTTGTTTGCTCTCATCAGGTGCAGATAGCAGGCATCGAACCTAGGACCATTAGGATGTTAGATAGGACCCTTACCCTTTTCACCACGGGTCAACACGAGCAACTCTTGGCGCAACGGTTACTGGCTAATTGGCGGGTCATTTTGTAGTACACGTTGCGTGGTGGGATTGCGACGCGCAATCTGTAGTTAGACTGTGTTTCGCATTTAAGCGGACCTTGGACTAATTGATCGCTACGATAGTTATTTTTACTGGTGACCATGTTTAGAGCGCATGTTTCCTCCCAGCTCGTGTGACACTTGCTCGCTACTCTCTCTATTGCTAGGATTTCCTGCACATTATCCAACCGCTCACTTCGTATTAGTGAACAAGGGTTTGCTCAAACCATCATCTCGACAACATTCTCACACTTCCATCGACCTTATTCACCTTTGGGACAATCCACTACTCCGGATTTATTGGTGCTGCTATGTCGGTGCTTATTACTGGGTACCAGTCTCCTTTACTTAGCTTCACACCTCTTCCATTCACGTGCACCGTTGTGCTACAACCGTTGGTGAGCTTATTCTTCACCAATAATGATCGGCCTATTCTTGTGATGTTTCTACCCACTCATCTTTACATTTCTTCACTACTCTGTTTATGGAATTATTAGTTGTCGCCACTTAGCCGCAACGAAAGCGAGGTATTCATGCAATGGAGCGTCATCCTACCCTGAATTGCCCCGCTGTTTCTCACGCTCGATTTTGTATCCGTTTCCAGTGCAAACAACAAACTGTGGACTTCTGATCAACATCCGGCATCTGAGTACTCTGTCTTAAATTCTTGGCAACAAGTATCGGTCCCACTGAGTCACAATGGCGACTTCAAGGTTAATCTTTGCTTTACATTTCCCTCTGCATCTCTTTTTCATTCGCTCGTGTCGTGCATTGTATAGTCCCTCAAATGTCTCGCTATCGTTTCCCCGGTTTTCTTGCGGTAGAAATGTCCACCGTCCGATACAAATGCTTTTCCCATCGTCACAGTTAGTGACTGCTTCTTATACTTAGCTCTGATCCCAAATTTCGGTGTATCCTCCTTTACGTTAACAAAACTGTTCATTTTATGTCTACTTGTTATCGGAAGCACGATCCTTAACTCCATCGTTATGTCGCCTTTTTCCTTCATGCAATCATTTTGTATTACTTGACTTCGCACTTCGTTAAATTGACCATTGCACCTCTTACGCTCATTTGCCACATTCAAAACACATCCGTAACCATCTTCCGCTGTCCTAACACATGCTAAGGGATTGGCTGTGACTATCCAACGCCAACACATCCCGTATAAGCATTGTCAGCTAGGTTGGTACGTCGAAGTGGCTTTCCACTCACCGCACTTCTATCTCTCTTGTGTGCAAATAGTCAGTTGGCTTAACTCTATCTGATCGCTCTCCGTATTGTTGAGTAGTAGTGCTATTCGTCCTCGTTGATACGGTATATTGTTACACCACAGTAGTTTTTACACCCAGCGTCATTTCATGTGCCACAGTTAGCATGCTTTGAAGGTGTTACCCAACTGCATTTTTCTGTCGAATTCTGTTGTCCTTTGGCGGTTTTCCATTTTTCCGTCATGATAAGACGTAAATTTTGTCTTATAAATCGGCCTTCACAAGTTTGCAACGCATCCAAAATGTGGTGGAGTATGTTGCCTAAATTGGGAGAACAATTCATTCACTACTAGTGCCCTACTGAAGGCATGCGTATCAGTAAACCAACGTGCTAGCATTTCGCAATCCAAGCATCGTCATATTGACGACCCCATTGTAGCTTACTTGAGTCTTCTTGTTTGACGAAGTTGCAAATGGGGTTTAAGCAGGTAATCCTCTCTATTCTAGAGTCTGTCACTAACGACTCCGTAGACCGAGTAATCGTTTACTGGAAGCTGCTTCACGATTTCCTCTCAGGGAGTGGGTTTCTTTAGGGTTATCCTATGCCTCCTTTCCTCCCAAACTTTGGGATTAAATTACTTATAAATCGGTCCTTCCTCTCAACCTTTTCTTTTGCTAAGGTCTTTCTAAGCGACCAACTGACAATCCTTGGATATGCGGACAGCATCGTTCTCCATGAGTTGGACTAGGCGGTTATGCAAATGAGACTGAGACTGTATTTAGGAGCAAGTAGAAAGGTTTCTATACAACTCTAACGAATTATGAAAAATCAAAAGCATTTAATTGCGGATCGTCAGCGGTAGTGTTTGGTCAGTTACTCGTTTATTCTTGTTCGGTTAGAAATTCTTATTAGTGTCATTATTTTCGCTTATAGGATGTATTTCTTTGCATTGTGCACCGTTTGACAAAATCACAGTTATCTGAAGTAGTCGTCTGTACTTGTTTTAAAACACTTCACAGAATCGGCCTCTGGTAGTGTGTTCCATAAGTTTATGATTCTTCGTTCTGTACCAAACTGATGTGATACTTTGTTCATGCAGGGACCCTGAGTTTCTAACGTCGTCCTCGGGTGTTACAGGGTTCCCGCAAGTGAAATATTAACTGCAGTTCTTTGAGGCACGCCACTGGTCGATAGTAACCAATCTGTTAGGTAGTCATTGACCTGTACTCTAAACTTTTATCCCACAACAAACTCGTGGAACCACTGAAGTGGCGTGCCACCGATTCCGTAGGTCCTCATTTTACGAAGGAGTACTTCCTGGTTCACTCTGTCAAACGCCTTACCACGTCACCCTTCCGTTCCTTGAGAGCTCGTACCCACTGGTGGCTTGCGTACATTATGTTGGTGATGCAGGATCGCCCTTTCGTGAAGCCGTGTTTCGCTAATGTCAATACGTCCATCAATTCGAAGAACGACAGCAGACACTTTCTCACAAGCTTGTTGAGAACTTTGGATAATATCGATGTCAAACCGACCGGTCTATACTTCTCTACTTTACTCGGGTCGCCACCTTTGGGAATCGATCTCACTATCGAGAATTTCCAGTCGTTGGGGACAGATCCTTCAGAGTGTGATTTATCGAATAAGTTTATCACGACTGGTGAGGTGACGTTCGATAGGGACTTGAGTATCAGTGGGTGAAGTCCGTCTGGTCCGGAGGACTTTGCGTCATCGAGGTTGACAATTAGCTGATACATTTCGGCTGCATCACATTGTATGCTGTCGAGCAAGACTGGCGCAGCCCGTGCCGGTATTGGTACAGCCGCAGGTTGACTGCAATATACGGTGAAAAAGTGCGTAGCCAGTGTCCGCGCGCTCCGCGTTTGAAATGAGCATCTTCCCTTCCAAACTCTCTAAGACCCGTAGGTCACCCCTAGGTTTCAGTTGACGTTTCAAGTAGGCAAATATTCTTTTTGGTACAGGTGTGGCTGAGAATGCTAGCTCCTGCTTGAACCCTTCGTTTCTTGGTCTTTGCGGCGTTACATTAGTTACGCTGTTTTTTGTACATCATCATCTTCATCACAACCCGAGCTGATGTATCTATCCCAAAGTTTGCGACGCCGTCGCGCTAGCTGTCTATATCCTGTATCAAACCAGTGCGGTTCGACAAGTCAGATTTTTGCAAAATGGACCGAGGCGTAGCACTAAGTTTCAAAGTACTCTTACAATATTGCACCAGTGATATCTATCCCAAAATGGTCGCCTGTTGTTGTCAAACCCACATTTATAGTTGAATTTCCTCTGCCAAACGCATCACTCCACGTGTCAGAAATGTCTCTATAATTTTGCAGTTTTAATCTTTTGTAAATACGAATGGCTATCTGTATTAAATTAATATAGCAAATACGATGTTGTGCAATGGTCAGTATCCTTGCAGTGATCGAAAACGTGGAAACCGGTAAAGGCATTTTGGGTTGGTCGCTTTTGAATGTCAGTATCTGGGGTTTCCTCGCATCTCGTGAGAGCATCGGGGGAGCAGTACTTCAGCTCACTAGTTGATGTTTGTAAACAAACCTTTTAATTCTCCATTTGTATGCCTACTAGAATTGAGTCGCCCTCTCCGTATATGGCTGATCTTCCTCCTCAGCTTCCTTTGAAATGATGATCGGGGCATTCTCTGCGGGGCAGCACTCGGCCCAGCGAACGTGATCCGATTATAAGTTACGGAGGAAATTCGTGGCAACATTACAAAAATGTTTTTCACGACATAACATACTTTCTTTTCCTTTGATCCTTTCACCATTACTTGCTTTCTAAACAGGCTACGAAATAGTCGACAACCAGGAAGCGCTCAACTTCATTGAGGCGGGGTGTTGCAAAGGAGAGAAAATAGCAGCGTTTAATGGAGTGAACAGTGACCTGTACATGGAAAAGTACTTCGTCATAACGATACGTAACAATAATTTTAACCATGGGAAGAGAGAGCGCACAACAAGATATCAGTTAAGCGATCAGCAGCTAACCTGGAATTGTCTCCGTTGTGAACGATTTACATCAGTTGGAACGAACGTCGTGCTTCACAAAGGCTGCGAGATATGATAACAGAGGGAAAATTTCATAATGTATAAGTTAGATTGTCCAGTGAAAGGGCATCAAGGGTTCAATTTCCCCTTCAGTCTACGTCTTGCGGCCACTCATGCATCTTCAATCTAACTGGTCACGGAAGATGTAACAATAGAAGTGGGCTAAACATAAGGCTGCTTTATCCAAACCACTGATATGCGGATGTTTTTTAAAAGACCATTGGCTAGTCTCCATGCTAAGTCAGAGCAGAGTAGGAAGCAATGGTAAGGTACGGTAAAATAAGGTGAAATGGGGGTAAGTCAATGTAGCCCAGCTGCGGTGAAGTAGCATGGTGTATGCCACCTTAAACCCCAGCATAGGGGCACTCGTATGTGGGCATCTGTATTCGCATTACCAGTAGGGCAAATACAATGCGCCTGCGTCTTTTCAAAAACTATGGGTGGTTGTCACTACGCTGCAACACTCGATGAATTAGTGCAGTATCAGTGCAAATGTCCTCCGTCCGATGTTGCGAGCGAACGGGGATTCCGTTCTTACTCACCTCGCTCCATAACATTTAGCTGATTTAACATGCACCGTCACTTCTCACTTGCGTACCACCAAGTGCCACTTGTCAGTCCGTTGTGCTCGGTCTCACAGTCGACCTGTTTGGCATAGCCCCATCGTGGTCTCGTTGATGACTGACCAGGCGGGCCTCGCTAAGGCACACACGGCCGCGTGCACTACAGCTCCACGTGGGGGTAGCCGAAGAATTGTAGCCTGCCGGCAGTCGTTTACTTGCTGCACGTTTAATTTCCCGATGCACCATCTGTTTTCCTGGCGCTTGAGTAACGGTACACGTGGTGAGACCAAGCCCGGTGCGGTGATTCCTTGCCGTCTCCCAAACACTTAGGCCATTACTTACTCTGGACAAACTAACCTTAATGTTGCCTTGACAGCGCCACTTTGGTTTGCTTGCATTCCGGCCGCCTGCTGTCATTTGCCCATACAGCAGTTGCTTCGGGATTCTCGTTGCATCCATACGGCGCACATGCCCCATCCACCTGAGTCGCAGCAGTAGCCTGCAGTGTATAGTGTACACTTCGCTCCGGCGGCTCACATCAGTGTCCGGCACATAGTCCCACCATTGAATGTGCAGAATCTGGCGAAGACACTTGATGGAATCGCTCCAGAAACCGGATATCCTTTCTGCACAGTGTCCTCGTTTCCCACCCATGGATAAGGTCTGAAAGAACCAGGTATTTCTACACCATCACCTTGGTTCTAACAGTGGCAAGAAGATATATATATATATATATATGTATATGTATATATATATATATACATATATATATATATATATATATATATATATATATATACGGTTGGCGGCATTCCGTTTCGGATTTGCCTGTCACTGTGGCCAGCCACAGGACGC